ACAAGAAACCTTCTGAGAATATCCTCCAACATTTTCTAGGATGATTAAATACTATTCTGCTCTGCCTCACCATCGAGCTTCAGCCTTTTGACATTAAGCAGATACAACTCATTTTATACCCCCCAATATAAGATCTGCTTTTCAAACCAGTAGCAGCCACATGCTGGTTAGTATAGCTCATCTACTGTGGATGGACCTTTCTGCCTTCCTTGGAGACAATGTCTCTCAAAGGAGATCATAAGGAAAGGAATTTCCAACCCTAACTATTCTATGACTCTATGATGCTATGATCTCCACAGAGGATGCACTGAATCGGTGTATCACTCAGCCCCTATAATACAACCTGCTTTCTTGACAGAAGATGTGGATCTCTGGGCTTTCCCTTTCCAGCAGAGGCTGAAGAAATGCTAATGCTGCAGATGGCCACCACCACTGGAATGTGCACAAATGCCAACAGCAGAACTGTGCAAAGGTGAGCAAAGTGAGGTGCTGCCATGTGAAGTCAAGGTTGTGAGCAAAGGCTCCTTCTCCACAGTGCACTCTCTAGGCTCCAGGGTTACCTGTTGTCACAATTAGTTCAGACAAAATCCTTCTCTTGATTCCCTCTGGGTGCATTTGGTGCTTCTAAACCACATTGCAGAGTGAAGACGCTGGACTCAGCGGTGGCAGTGCCTATGCTCCTTTGTCTGCCCAGTCAGAACCACAAATATCTCCAGGAGCTCAGGCCAGCAGCATAACGAGGCATCAAGTCAAACTACCTGTAAGGAGCTCACTAAACCATGGGTGCCTCTATTTCCCATGCAGGAGGAAGAGAGCACCCATTGTCCATCAGCCTCAAGCTGGACTCAGGCAGCACCTCAAAAATAACATAATTTATCTTCCATCAGTTGCCTGAGCCATATGGACCCAAACTCTCTGCTTTGTATTTGTATCTTCTAAGCATAATAACTGCTAAGTAAAGTGTTTTCAAAGTGGTTGAAACAACCAATTATGTCTTTCTTTCATTTACACTTTTTGTGACGCGTGCAAATGGATGTCACCAGCACAACTGAGCTCAGAAGTCTGAAGAGCTCTTACTCCACTTGGTATCACCACTGGAGCAGTCCACAGCAGACACCATCTCAGTTTCTTGGGACTTACTAGAATTCTTTCCCATGTTTCCAGTAGACAGTTGGCTCACGATTTGTTCTCAAAAATACAAGTAAACAACTGTCCCCTTTGGAATTTTTTTCCATATCCATTATTCAAACTGGTTTCTTTTCTCATTCACTGTGGGTTTTTTTTTTATTTTTGCTTATTTGTCATTCTTGCCCTTTTCCTTAATTCAAATAATTTTCACAATTGGTAGTGCTGAAGGACAGTAAAGAGAAACAGAAGAGATTATCCCCCTAATAAAAAAGAAAGAAAAAGTCCATTCAGAAAGCCAGGAAACAAAATCAACAAGGAGAGCTTTGAGCTTTTCTGTTTTGGTCAGAAAACTGTTGATTCCTTTTGCACCAAGTGCTGGGCCTGATTCTTCTCCAGCAGAGTGCAGCCAAGAATTACAAAGCGAGTCAACAGACCGAGTTCATCTGAAAAGTAGCTAGAAAAAACCTCGGGCTATGTTCAAGGTGTCCATTTTTAGAAGGAAATTTGCTTAGGCAGAGGAATACCAGCATATTCAGGGTGAGTGACTCTGTGTGTGTGCATGTGTGTTTTGGATCTCAGCACAAGGAAGGGGTGTCTTGCCACCCCCAGGGGTCGGGAATAGTGCATGCATGGGGAGGACCTATTATATTATTTTTCTTCCACCTTAATGAACTCCTCTCATGTCCACCTCTGATCAGTGGAGTATGACAGAGGGTGATTGAAGGCCAGTCTCCCAGGAAATGAAGTTTGTTCACACAGCCCAAGTATGCTGGCCCTACTGCTGCCTGCCTCTGATTTATAGGACCAAAAATTCCTTCCTCCGGTAACAATAACGCTCTTAAACTCCAGACCCCTCTCCCTCACAGAACCTCCAGACAGGACAGCCCGATCCCAGGAGAGACGGGAGGCACCCAGCAAATATATCCATCAACACAACTTCGGTTTCAAAGGATTACGAGACCCCATGGGGTTAGGCTCACAAAGGCGGGGAGCGGAGGAGTGTGGCCACCACCCTGCAGCACCTCCTCCTGGGAAAGGACAGCAACAGGAGAGAGGCAGGAGCCACAGCATCTCCTATAGGCCAGATGGCACAGAGAGTCCAGGGTGCTGTTTCCGGGGGAAATTCGGGCCCTCTGGAAATGGAAACAAGTCTGCTCTGAGGTCTAACATCAGAGGTTTCTTCCTCTGGGATGGGGCTCCTGGCTAGGGAGCAGTCCAAATGCTTTGTCTGTCCTTTGTGTTGTGTTTGATTTTGAGAGGTGATTTCCTGTGAGCTCAGTGTGGTTTTAGCACTTAAAGACAGTAGTGGATGGCTGTGACTGCAGGTTCTGCAGCACCAAGGCTCCCACATGGCACTGGGCTCATGATGAGAGAAGCCATCATGGTAAACTGCCACACATCCCCACTCCATCTCAGGAAACATCCTCTCCAGAGCATGATGGGGCCCTGAGGTGCAGCCTGCAATGGTGTGCAAGGGTGCCAGACAGCTGGCATGGTGCTGGAGGTTTTCTCCATGCTGTCCAGTAGAGCTGGTTGGTGGCACATGTTGTGTCCAGGCACTGAAAAGACGGAACCATTTCCCAGCCAGGGTGCCTGCAGTTAAACAGTACAGATGATCTGGGGGCACATTGTTTTCAGGCTTTGTTTTATTTAGTAACACAGACATGGACATACAGTGTGGCTTATCAGGGCAGCCTCTGAGTTGGCAACACCTGCACACATGCACACACACAGGCACACTTTTAGGTATTGGAGCCCCATATTTTTGCTTAACGTTACTGTGAGAGTTTTGGTTCAAGAGAGAAAAAAGAGCTTGAGCCCTTTTGCAACAGGACAGTTGTGGCTGCCAAATTGCAGGGCAAGTCCTGGCAAGATATAAGTTCATTCTGTAACTTTTTTTTTATCATTTACTTATTAACAGCTCTGGCTCTCACCTGAAGCTGCTGAGCTGTTCCTCCGAGACAGGGCAATTAGCAGGGAGACAATGATCTGTAGAGGGCAAGGAGCAGCCTGTGCTGGGGTGGGGAGGAGGTGGGGAAGGGCTGTGGGAGGCTGAGGGTCACCGAGGAAAGAGCTATTTATGGCCCCCAGAGGAGGATTCAGTAAAAGGCCATCTAGCTTGACTTGACTTTCTCTTGACTTATCACTTCTGGGGAATACTGGTGTACCTCCCTGCTCCCATGGGCTTCCAGTGTCCTGAGTGTCTGGGTGCAGGAATGGACTGGTGAAGGTGCCATTGGGAAGATGAAAATGTGGTGGGCCATGTGCCAGCTCCATTAAACCTGTGAGGTGGTATTTTAAGTGGGAAGTACCGCTGTCTTGTAGCCTTCTCCATTACGAACCCCAGTGACTGCTTCTGGACAGAGAGAGATGGGCAAGCTCTTCACTCTGCCTGTTCTTAAGGCTGTTTCCCCTCCAACCTTTGCTGTTGTTATTTCAACAGAATGTCTGTGGGACAGTAACTCTGTGTTCATGCTGATAGTTAGCACAGAGGGCTCTGATCTCTATCTCACAGTCTCCTGTGCTAACCACACTGCAGGTAATTGCTTGACAAAGAGAGAAAGTCTGGCTTATACATGTGTATCTGATATCTGGGCCAGCACCTTGATGTTCTGCTGCAAACACTGCTTTGGAACATACCCCTTGTAGATTATGAGTCTTTGCATATTTGTGTGCTTCAGACCACCCTCCCTTCTTTGCTGGAACCTGCTGAGGCAGGCCTTCCCAGGCTGACACCTCAGCAAGAAATGAGCTTTGTGGTGTAACTAACTGCATGACAACATAGAAGAAGAGCCCTTCTCTACATAACTGCCTGCAGAGAGAACAGTTAAAGGCATGATATTAAGTTAGATAACCATGGTAAATTCCATCTGAAAAGGAAGTTGGTAATTCTGAATATATTTGTGATGAAAACATGACCTTTTTTAAAATGAAAAGCATTTTTATGGAGCAATCCTATAAGATGCCAAATGTTTTGGCCCCAATGTAGCTAGGTATTTAACCATGCACTTCATTTCTTAAGCTGCTCATGTGCTTAAATATTTTGCTGGTTCAAGTCCAGAGCTCACAGCATTCTGTGTGGTGTCAAAGGACTAGGTCTGCATTTGCAGCAGCACTGCTGAACTTGGCCTGTAATGACTTCAATCATCACACAGAAAGCATTTTCTGTTAATGTGCTATCCAACAAAAATCTTAAATAAATTTCCTTGGGATTTCTCTCTTCAGTGTGTGTTTCCTTATGGTATTCTAGCAGGCAGCTTTACTAGCCAGAGTACTTGCAAAACAAGGCACTTGCAAGTAAAATCTAGTGGGAGCTAATGGAAAATTATTTTGTTCTAAAGATTCCAGGACTGTCACCCAAGACATGACTTTAAAAGCATATGAAGGCCCACAAGGAAAACGCTGGAGTGTGTGACCACTCCATCCAGTCAGAGCTGACCAAGATATTTTCAATCATTCACAGAAATTATTTAGAAAGTAATTCCAAACAACATGGGAGGACTTATCACCTAATGGCAGATGACTAGTCAACAGAGAAAGAGACCAAGCTCTTGAGCAAAGCAGTTCTCTGCAGATGGCTGGGCTCAGTAAGAGGATAAAAAATGAACCTGACCATTAACAGAAAGTGAAGCTGACTAGCTGAGTTTTACTGGTCCCGCTGAAGGCAGTACAAAGAAACAACCAGCACTAGGTGGGAAAAGGTGAGTCTGATTTCTAATCTTGCATGTTGTAATTACGGTGTTAAATGTGCAAGTGCAAAGTGAACGGATGAGATGGCATAACTAGAAGGAATTTGTGGAAGAGAGCTGAGCAGAAACAGGCTCTGTCAAAGCCAAAAAGGATTCATGCCAACGTTGTTTCTCTTGGCATAGGTCAAAAAGCAGACTGTGTGACAAGAGAGAAATTGGAGAAGACTGAGATAATGCTCAATTAGATCATGCAGTTCACCTCCCTGGGGCCCATGACAGACTGGTGAGGAATTTTTCTGCTGGGGAAGGAAAAAAGAAGTCATAAGAAATTAAAAAAAAACTTTTCTTTTTTCTGTCCTTCCCCCCAGAAAAATAAACTCAAAATGAAACCGCACTGAAAAATGTCATTTCCAGCTTACTGTGTTTCCCTGCTGACTATCTTAGAACAGGAAAATTCAGATACTGACTGTGAGAATGCTCAGTAAGTCCATGCTCCAATTTCCTGCTATGACAAAATTTTGGGAAGACCTAATTGTGCCTCTTGTTACCGCTGAAGTCCTTCTCAGTCACATGTAATCCTGAGACCTGTTGCATCAGAGTGTCACAGGTGTGTTGTTAGAGATGTTCCATGGCCAGACCAGAGCCTGACTCACTGAGACCAGCCACTCGCCCCACAAAAATGAGCTGCTTCATTCTCGTGGCTCCTTTTTGTACATGCTCCAACTGGCAGGATCACTTGCAGCTTCAGAGGCAGGCTGACCATTTCTGTAGTTGCTTTCAAGTGAATGCTGGGACTGCCTCAATTCTGAGAGGACTTTGGGGGAATTATTATTATTCTCCTGGACCCAGAAGCCATGATGCTTATGCTACCTCTAACTGAGAGCCTGACTGGTTGGGCTTAAATTTGGCAAGAGACTTCTGTATGTAGTCAGTAGGAGAGATGGTGGCAGCACCCGAGTGTGTGCTGAATTTAGTCTGTGGTGAGGCTGTACTGTGAGCTGGTATCAGGGCCAAGAACAAAACTGATTCCCCCAGCCCCATACTACCTATTGTACCACAACATCAGGAGCATCTGGCACTGAAATATTCCCTGTTGCCTTTCTCCTCAGTGCAATCTTCAAAACCTTTAAACAGTGAAGATTTCTCATGAGTTTCACTGTCAGGAGGTTTCTCCCTTAATTTTATTATGCTTCATTTTCATCTCCTTATCTTTAAAAAGAAGTCCCTGCTGTTATCCTACCATCCTACCTAACCCTGTTTTTGTTGTTTTCTTCCACCTAAACTTCCCAGGTTTGTCTCCATCTTTAGGAATGTTTTTAATACTCCTGGGACCTAGGACTGAAACTGTGCTCTGTGATGTGCTCGCAGGGATGTAAATCCAGCTTACCAGACAGTGACAATCAGAACTATGATTTATTTTAGAAAATGCTGACTATGAAGTACTTTCTCGGCATTACCGTATTTCCTTATTGCCCTTTGTAATAGGGTGAGTTGAAGACTGCAGGGAGGGCCTGGCTTGTACATATGCGGATCTTCCTCAGAAGAGAGGTGGTCCTGCTCTTCATTATACTCTTATCAGTGGGCTGGCATCAGCAGCAGCAGCTACTGGTCAGACTTCCGATAACATGTGCAACTGGAGGGAAAATTCTGGGGTTTGTGACTGCATCTTTGGGACAGAAGGAAGCAGAAGAGAAAGGAGCAAAATCACCCCAAGGGAGGCAATACTGCACTTTGTTAGGAGCTGGTTGCAGCTGACTGATCTCTGGCTCATCCCTCCAGCTCAGTGTTGAGGAGAGCTTCCCGAGTGTGGGAATGGCCACCCTCTGGGCTGGAGATCTCAGTCCCTCCCGCATGTGTGGGATCAGAGGGGTGGATGGCAGAGGGGGCTGCGCTGACATTTCCTCTCCCAGCGAGGAGGGACCCTGTCCTTGCGAAGGCCAGCTCAGTCCTGCATGACCAACTACAACTGCCGCTCCTGTGTCCTTTCCCCCCGGGTGCTGCGTTCATTAGCTGTGAGGCCTTACTTTTATGGGAACCCTCCCACCCAGCTTCCTTCTGGCTTAATGACAGGCCCATTAAAGAGAAGCCAATAAAGCCACAGTGCAAGAACAGCACGAGGGCCAGTTGCCTGTCTTCATGCACAAGCCAGGTCTGGGGGCAGGAGGAGGCAGGGACACCCCCGAGTCGTACAGAGGTGACCTCTGAGAGTGGGGAGAGCCCACGGCTTGCAGTCCAGCTTTCGTGCTCCACTCTGGGGCTCTCTTGCATAAACTTTTCCCAGTGTGGGGTTGGGGTTTTTTTTGTGGGTTGGGTTTTTTTTACATCTCTGAGGAGGAGGAACAAGGTCTTTTAATGAGGGGAGGATTAACAGGCCATAAGACTCAGCCCTGAAAGAGCCGTCGGTCTGTGGGGCCGCTCAGCAGGACGCAGGGTAATTGGATTGGATCCCGAAGAGCACCTTGAATCGGTTCTGAGGCGACCGCGGCGGGTTGCTCCAGAGGGGGCCGGGGGGGCCGGGGAGGAGGGCAGCGTGTGGCTCTTTACAGAAGCCAGAGCCAAGATGGGGGATCAGCCGGCTCATTAAGGGATTAGAGTGTTTGTTCTTCTCAAGACTTTTGTTGCTAAAACACTTTGCGCAGCATTTTCTGGAGCCTGGGGAGCTTAAAGAGCTTGTCAGAGCCCTGCTCTTGGTCCCCACACAGGAACAGAGACGCTCTTTCCTCTGGCATTCCTGCCGATGCCAACAGCAGCTATTGCTAGCTACAGCTCTGCTCTCCCAGTCCTTCCTGTCTCTGGTCATAATGCTTCTGTCTCCTGTGGGTTTTGAGGTAAAAAGGGAGGATAACAGAGGACAAAGCAAAAAAAAGCACATCAGTAGGGAGTCCTTTAACAGTGAGGGACACTTTAATTTGGGCTTTTTCCTTAGTATTTGTTGCATGGATAATGAAGGACTTTGCATGTTCCGTGGTGCTCTCTGCAATCTTTTACCTCCCCCATGGGCTCTGTGCTTGGTCTTCAGCACTTCTGGTAGCAAAGTTTGAGGCACAAACTACTCTGTGTATGTGGCCTTCATATGAATGTTGTGGCTAGAAATTACTACATAGACAAATTTGCTTACCAGCCTCATCTAAAATGGGCTGGCTGTTGAGATGCACTTGAGATGCAGTGCCAGAAAACGCTGGATGGGGAAAGAACAATGCAGTGAGACCTTGCCTGAGAGCACAGCTGTCCAAGAAGCTTAGTTCTCCTTTGGACTGTTGGGAGAAGCTAAAAGCCCTGAACTCCAAAGCAAAAAGTGCAGTCTGGGCTACTAGAAGATGTCAATGACATATGTGGATAAAGCTCTATTGTCAGCAGTTCATCCATCGTCATGGCCCACACTTCTCACCCAACAAGACTTTACCTGCCCTGCTCTGGGCATGCACAAACCCTGCCCTGGCTGTCCAGGGGTGGAAATCTGGAGCCACTAGCAGAGCAAAGGCCAGGGGAGAGGGTAGAGGAGCTATGTAGTACTTACCTCATTTTAGGGGTATCCTAAATCCCATCACTGTGGGATCGATCAGTGAGCAAGCAGGGTTTCTCACACGGGTAGCAACACCCACGGTGAAAGGGCAGTGTCTGTGGGGCAGGTACATTGGCATGACCTGGGAAGCAGTTCCCCTGTGACTTCCCTACAAGGACACTCAGAGGCTGAGCCCACCAGGTTTAGAGGTTCACACATGTCCTGCTGGTGGGTGAACACGCAGTTGGCACCCAGAGCCTCAGCCCCAGCCAGGGAGTTGTGTGTCACCTCACCACCTTTCCATGGAGACCAGGATGTGCCCCACTTCCTTGTAGGGTGGTTGGCTGCATGACAAGGTGTTATTTTTGGGGTGAATTTGGCCTCCACCTTTAGAGAACCCTGGGGTCTGGGCAAGGGGGGTTTAATCGGCTGTGTGGAGCAGCAAATGGAAGGGAGCTCACCAGGACCTCCCCAGCTCCCAGTGTAAATCACACTCCCACCTCCCGTCTCTGCTGAGCAAGAGTTTCAGCTGGCAAGTGTGTAGATGGGGGTGGGAGAAGGGGACAGACAGGCAAGCAGGGGAGGGGTGGGGTGGAAGAGGGTTACAGGGAAAATAAATGAGACTCCCCTGAAATTAATTGTTTGAAGGGAGTGCCCCACTCGGCTGTGAATTCTGAAATGATTATTGGATTTGCAGGCAGAGGGAGAACAGAACGGGTTGGGTGCACGATTAATATCTTATTGATAGCGGATTAAGAGAGCGAGATCAAATCTTTAACTGAGTGGAGATGCAGTTTATCAATTTGTCACAAAAAATGTAGCAATCAGAAGTGGAGAACATCAGGGGCAGCTTGTGGATCGATCTGTGTCAGTGCCTCACAGTATGGCTCCACAGGGAGGCCAGTTTTCCCCTGGGTGCCCAGATTGCTGGTGGAGACCAGCTTGATGCTGACCATGCCAAGGACTGGCCCAGTCACAAGGAGAGCTGCAGGGAGGAGATGCCATGCTCCTGTGGATGCTGCACTGCAGTGTTTGTGTATAGGGTGCAAGCAAAGCAGCGATGCCTAGGGACCACGGCTTCCCAAGATGGGAAATGTGGCAGTGGGAAATGTGAAGGCTCAGTGGAGAGCTTGCAATCAGCCAGAACTTCCCAGACTCAGTGGGGAATCTGCTTCAAATTATTTCAGGTGCAGCTGAATAGTATTTAGTTGGGAAGAAGTTCATGTGCTCTTGGCCTATATGATGCAAAGCTGTGGGTACTACCTAGCTTACTAACTGTCCCACTCCCATTGGAGACCTGATGTGTTGTTGACATCTGGATGTTGGTACTTCTGAATCATGTCCACAGCTCTGATGATTTAGTCTTGCTAATGACAGCTTTCCTCGAAACAGCCTGGCATTCATGTGTGTTCTGTATTTTGGGAGTCCAGTTTGTTGACCAGCTCGTAAGCCTTGATCTGGCTCATGCATGGAAGGTATCTACAGCTACTGAAAGCATCTTGATAGCTGCGCAAAAAGGCAAGAACTCCACAAAAATATCCAGCTTAGAAAACAGTCCTTTCTGTATCTTGAGGTAGTTCTGTGATGTGAACCCCTTTTGCCAGCTCTAAAGAATGCATTGGCTGCTTGGGGTCTTCATTAGAAAATAAACACCACTTGTAGCCCATGTGGCTGTAAGCTTTTCAAAGTAACCTCTCTAAAGGCTAAAAGCAGAGAGCAAAGAAAGAAGAAACGAGTCAGATGGCTGGTAGGATTTGGTTTTTGAAATCAAACTTCTGATTTGCAGCCCTCCCTTATAGAATCTTGTTGTGAATGTTTGGTTTTAGCAAACGGGGAAAATAAACCCAAGGCAAATGTTTAATAAGCACCTCTTTGAGAGCAGGCACTGTACACAGCTGTGATATCTCTGCAGCGGAGCCTGACACCAGACTTCAGTCACCAGTTGGACTCCAGCTTTTTGTATTTTTTATTGCTAACGCAAAACTTCCTGCTATTCCAACAGATGGGGGATGGCCTGCAGAAGCCAGCAGCCTCCTTGGTGGGCTGTGGAGTCAACAGGAGACTCTGATAACAATTTCCCTTCTCTTAAGGCCTTGCAGAGCTGTTTCAGTCCCCTGGGCCTTTGCAAAAGATGTGCACCTGCGTGAGGCATGTGATGGTGGAAAGGCTGTTCATACTGAAAACAGTCTTTCATGCTGGCACTGCTAGCTTTGAAGGCAGTTACACTCTCACTGGAGTTGTTCAGTTTTCTCCTGGCTGTTTGCAGTCATTATCAGGGTCCTGGAGTGTAATGGGAGCCTCTGGGGCTATGGGGTGTACAGGTGAAAAAGGAGCCCTAGCTGGAAGACCTTGGAAGCTGGATGGAGAAGACATGGAAGGGAACGAACATCAAAGATGAGTTGGTTAATCCATGGCCCTGGTTTGCTGCCTGCTCTTTACTCCTCTATACCATGCCGCTTTTCCCCCCCACCATGTCAGAGCCTGTGAGGGGCTTTGACTTCTGCAGGTTTTTGGAGTGAGGGGGCACCACTCTGCTATGAGGACTGTGAGCACCATAACAGGGGGTCTGGGAGCTGATGAATCCTTGAGCTTGATAACACAGCCAGCTAAATCAGGTGATGTGGTTTGTTCCGCGTTGGCACCAGGACAAAAGGCTCTGTGTCAACCTAGTTTAACTGGTGTTAGCTTAGTGAGACCACTGCGTGCTCACCTTTCTCTTCATCTCTTTCACTGATCCCACTGCTGTCCCTGAGCTCTCACATAGCTCCCTACACCTCTCTTTGTCCCTTTGCTAGGCAAGCAAAGGATGGTGCATCTCTGGGGCTGCCTTGGTCTTTAGATGGAAAAGACCATATGGTCCTGTGGCAGCCACTGACTTAACCTGAGGATTCCTACTTGAATCATATGGTTTTCTTCTCCTGTCTTTATACAGAACTCACTTAGGGACATGTAACAGGGTGACCTCTGCTAAGACTTGATTCTAATGTTGCTCAGGTCCAGGGAAGACTGGCTAGAACTAGGGTGGACCTAGCTAGACCCTTCACCAGCAGTATCTTCCTAACATGCCCACTGTGTTAGAACTCCCGTATTCATGAGCTTCTCCATTGAGTGTCCTCAACTGGGAGCGTATGGGGCACCACACCTGTGAATGCCTCACAGCAAAGCCTTGGGAAGTCCCTCAAAGGTAAAGCATGTGTCAGGAGAGAAAAATACGAATTTGTAGCAAAAAAAAGGTCTGAGGAGAAGGAGAGGGTGCTGAAGATGTACTGTGTGAGGGAAGGCAAAGAGGTTGGAGGTGGGGAGGGAATCCTTTAGATGGCACTTCGCTGCTCTTTCTGTGCACTGTTGTGTAAATATGTTGAAAGCCATAGAGAGCCTTTGTTTTGGAAAGAGCCTCGCATTAACTGTGATGTACAGGCTGCCCTTCAACAAGCTCTGGGCCTCTTGTTCGTTTCTCCCCCCATCCCTTCATAGCACTGACCCCCAGAAAACACAAGGCCAGGCAGTCCCCTTTTTGAGCCCCCACACCACGGGGTGCCCTCACAGACAGGGGTGCCACAGGGCTGGCCCCATACCCAGCACAGGGCTTCCGTCCACCACGTCCCACCCACGGCCACAGGGAAGACAGGACCTCGTTGACTCTCCCTTCAGGGCCAGGCCACTCGTGGCTGTCACAGGACCGGCACGGCCTCCCCCAGCACCAAGATTTGGGGCTAATTAGTGCATTCAGGGGCACTGCTGGAGTGGAAAGACGCTTGTCTACCGGCGGGCAGCTGGGAGGTGACCTGGGGGGGCTGGCGCTCCCTCCCTTCGCAGGCCGTGGCTCTGCTAACGTGCAGGGAATGGCAGCCTGAGCGGCCGGGTCAGACGGGCGCTGCCGAACGGGCCGCTTTGCCGTGCCGTGCCGTGCCGGCGGGCGAGGGGCGCCACGGGGCCCCCTCCTTTCACTGCCTCCCGGTTCTGCTCCACAGACCCTCCCTTTGTCAGCCCTCTGAATGGAGCCCTGCCTGCCCGCGGCCTCCCTTTTAATTAGGGCTTCCGCTGCCTGCGCCTGGCCCTCCGCTGCCGCCCGGCCCCCGTCTGCCTCTTCCCCCTCTGCTTTCGAATGCTTTGACATAGTTTATCGCTCGCTCCTGCTTGCCCTGGCTGCCGGCCGGGACGGGAGAAAGGCGAGGTGAAGGCAACCGGAGTGCCGGCTGCCTGGCACGGCCGGACCTCAGGTGGAGGGGCCGTTTCGGAGCCGTCCTGTCGCTGCCAGCCCAGGCAAAGCGAGCGGACCCTTCCTGGCAGCCACCGAACTGGGCTCCGCTGCCTTGCTAAGGGTCCATCCCTCAGCTTAAAATCCCTGTACCACCTCTCCACACCAGGGGCTCCGGGTTTAGCCCATGAAATGTGACGAAGGCGTGATCTTTCTTTTTAAGTTTTCTGAAAATCCGAGTCACAGCTCTTGTGGCATGTTGGTGGCTCTTGACAGAAGTCCTTGGGAAGACCTTGCTGGAAAACAAGGTTTCACATCTGTGAGGCAGATGAAAAGAAGACCATGTGTTGTTACGATTTCTGGTTTTGCTTTGGACTGCGTGGTGGTACTTGGTGGGCGATTCAGGAGTTGATGGGCAGCCAGGGGTTTCAGGGTTACATCCCCCAGGCTTTTCAGACCTCACATGTGTCTGTATCTAAGGCAAGGATTTGCATATTTTTCTATGCAAGACACATTGTGATGTCCCACACAGATGCATCTTTGAGAGACTTGAATGTGTGACTGGTCTGTTACGGAGAAGGGTGATGCAGCTACACACAAGGAAGACAGCTCCAGCCAGGATTTACAGATCCTTCCTGGACTAGGTCACATCTTGTTGGCTTTTCATTGGGATGCTTGATCTGGAATCCTCCCCTTGGCTTTTGCTTGTCACTTTTCACGTTTAGGTTCTTATTTCCTTTTGGGTTGAACTTTAATTTGGGTGAAATGCAGTTGTCCCTCCCAGAAGCAACAGCTTTGTGCCTCAGCAACAGGCAGCCCTGTTGCTTCTTGTCTCTGTGCTGTCCCTGTGCAAGGGACCACCAAGCCTCAGGGCTCTAGTGTGTGATGCCCTGCATACACCCTTTGGTTGCATCCCCTGCCATGGGTGGTCAGAGAAGAAATTGAATGTGATGGGGTTCTCACACCTGTCTGTGCTGCAGCAGCCCCCCAGTCACCTCCTCCCCAACACAAAACAGCCCAGGACCACCATGGTACCATCAACACTTGGTTAGAAGAGCGTGGCCACTTCCTGGGCTGTTCATACCTGCGCATCCCATCTCCATCCCTGCTGCGGCCAGCCTGGCACCAGCTGGATTTGTGCCATGGCAGTGAGACATGGCTGGCATGAGCTGGGCAGATGTTGAGGTGTGGGCCAGGGTGGGTGGTGCAGTTTGGATGTTTCTACCTCATCTGGTACAATCAACATTGCTGTGCACATGTGAGGAAAGTTGTTCGATAGGAATGACCCATGATGCTAGGTTAATTCTGTTTACAAAAGAATAAATATTATAGCGGTGTCTTATAAAAGAGAATCAATAGCTTCCCTTTGCTGGGTGATCCCTTCATGTCTTCGAAAATCGATTCCCTCCCATTCCCCTCCTCCTTGCTGCACAGCTATCTGTTTTTCGGGGTGACGGGGGGGTCAGGCGATTATTGAAGTATATGTGAATTTACAATATTAACGACTCACGACGGTGTGTCCGCAGGTTCACGGTGAATTAATTATCTGTTTAAGAAGCCATGAAGAAATCAATCAATGAAAATTTCTCACTCTTTTGAGAGTGAGAGAGCTTGTCAATTTATTATTTTTTTTTTAACATGCACCACATTTAAAGGAACAGTGCAGCTTTTTTAGGCAGAGGAGGAGCAGAAGAAAGCTGGTTTGGTGCAGGTCTGGCAGGAGCTGCAGACCCATTTGCTGGCCTCCTCAGAGGACAGAAGGCACCAAGGATACATCCTGAGATGGTTTTGTCCTGGAGTTAAGCCAACAGTAGCCATCCCTACAGGGCAACAGAAAAGCCTGGTGTTACGTAGTGTGCTACCAAACTGCTCTGGTGAGCAATGAAGTCTGTCAGAGACATGATCTCCTCCCAGCTTACTGGCCCTGCTGGCCCCCTCCAGGAGACCCATCTGCTGTTGCTGAGTTGGCAGAGGGCAACACGTGGCTGTGCCTCAGCTGCTCCAGCCTGTGGGAAGCAGGATGTGCTCCTGTGATGGAAACAGGGGACGAGGAGTAGCTAACAAAGAAGAGCAGCTGAAAGCGGTAGTATCTCAAATCATCTCAAGATGTACTGTCTGGCAGAAGTACGGCAGAGTGCTTTCTAACTAAGCCTTCAGCAGTGAGTGCCATGTCTCAGTTTGGGACAGGCACTGGTGAGTGCGCAGCCATGAGGCATAGGCTTGGCATGACTGGACACAGCCCCTCTAGGCCATCTCTGCAGGGGCAAGGTCAGGCAGCTCTCGGCAACAAATAGCCCAAGACTGCTCATCTTTCCACCTTGTGCTAAAGCTGCAGCCAGAGGGAAGACTCTTATGTTCGTGCAGACCTGATCAATCACTGTACTGTATCTCCTGGGATTTTGGAGTCTCCCAAGACACTCAGAAGGACAGCACCATCATGTGCAGGGCGATGGCAGTGTGTACCATTAACAGCATCTAGCTGAGGTCCTTATATCAACTTGATGACGTTTCTCTATTTGGATGGGGTCTGCTGACATTTGAATTACTGGATGTGAACATTTTCCCTACATTTCAGGCTTTGGCAGGCAAAACCATCTAGACCTTGATGCTGGTCAAAAAGCAACAGGGGAAGATGGATCCTAGAACTGCTCAGAGGGCAAAGGGATTTGTCTGTAATTCCTTATGCCTGTCCTGACCCTTGTGAAAACTGCTGCATCTCACCTCTCTTGTGTCTGTAGAGAATGTAATGTGTTGGCACTTGTGCAATAACTGATATCCCTTTTAAAAGCGACACAATTGTGGCAGGGTGAGAGTAGAAGAAACTGAAAGGAAGAGGGGACGTAAGAGATTCAGAGCCTTTGGCGGGAGGAGTTGGACACTGCCCATTTCCCTTATCCCTAGCCACCAAACTGGCAGTAAGGCAGGGATGCTGCAGAGACAAAGCCACAGTATTTGTGTAGGGAGGACACAGAGGGAAATGTGTTGTGGTGACAGGCAGCTGGAGACCCTGACAAACAGGCTAGAAGGAGTACAGGGGGCAGGGACAGCCTCTGAGGCTGCCCCTGCCCTGCAAGCCCAGGCAGACATGGCCCCTTCCCAACCCCATAATCCTACTGGCCTGCGCTGAGAGAAGTCCCCGCCAGGCACACCCATTGCTGTAACCAGAACAGAGAGAAGAGCCCATATTGACACAGGAGCATCTGTGTTAGTAATTGTCATGCAGCCTGGCAAATTGCTTCAATGTGCCATCCCCTCCAGCCGCACAGCTCAGCGGCAGCAGCACGCCTTGGGGGAGGGGGCTGTGTTGCTGCCAGAGAGAGGAGAAGAGCCTTGGACCTGGTGGAAGGGGTCAGGACCCCACAGGGACCTGCTGGGTCCCAGCCCAGCTCCATGTGTCTTGACAAAGTCTTGCCTGATGGCCTCTTGGCAGCTGCTCTGGCTGCAGTGCTGTTTTACTCAGCTCCATCATCCTCAATGAAATATTGCCAATTCAGACCACAATGAGAGAAGGGGGGAAATTCCCATCAGCCTTTAGGCTGCTGTTTACACCAACCAAAGGAGGTTTGAGAGAGAGTCATGTCCTTTCCTCCCAACTCTTATTTGGTTGCTGGGCACAGGGGATCCTCAGCACTGTACTCCACATAGGCATCTTGCTTTTCTCCCATCTATATATGCTGCTGCTTTGTGAGTCTAGACAAAGCGAGAACAGAAACACAAGGTGAGGTTTCAGAAAAAGAAAAAACAAACAAACCAACAGTAGGTACCTGGTTTGAGGCTGCATAAACCACAGCTTTTGAGATGTTACAGATTGGAGCCATTCAGTGCCCTTTGAAGTCATCAGGTTGACCAGAGGTGTCTGTTTTCATTTTTATCTGTTCTTTTTAAATAATCCCTAGTTCTGTATTTCCTGTGCTTTTTAAGGGTCGTGCAGTTCCAGCAAAGGTGGAACTCCTCCCTGGATCCAGGCATACAACATTGATAAAAGACTTCAGGCCTAATCATGACATTCTGAGGTAAGCAAGGCCTCCAGGATTTGGCTTAGTGTAGGAAACTCTTTAAAAGATGCAGTTATTTGTAAAATGTCATCATTAAAGCCAGCCTCCTGATCTGCTGCCACTGGATACACGCTCCTTCACCTAAAAGGTTTCCTGCCCCTCTTATATCCTAGCTTCTTCAGTGAAACAGCCAACAATATAAAAATCAAACTCAACAATAAAACACCCTCAAGCCCAAGCATAGTAATTCAATTTAATACTAATGACTTTACCAGCACTCCTTTAATGGCTATGGATTTTGTCTATCTATTGGAAAATGTCTCAGAGGTGAAGAGCCCATAGTCTGTCTTCCAGAGGAGAAGGTGTCATTGGTCAGATTTGTTCTGAAGACATGATATACTGTAGGACTGGAAGGTCTCCTGGGCTTTCCTAATGCAATCTAGTTTGTGGTGCAGTTTGTGTTGTGATAGGGAAAGTGGGTACGGCCATGCATTCTGGAGCCTGTGAATTGCTGAGAAGCAGAGTGCTAATGCCTTGCTTTCCCCTTTGGGTCAGCATTGGTCCAGTGCTTTTATTTGCTGCAAGTGCTTCTCTAACCTTGGCACAATCAGCATGGTGATTTTGTGTGTCTAGGTCTCTCCACTGCTCACAGTTAGAGGTTATGCCCCAGGTGCCAGATGGATGCATGGGAAGAAATCCATGGATTTCAGCTGTTGACTGCTGAAACCAATATACTTAATTTCTCATAGACCTCCCAGGGAACCATACAGTAACCTGCTAATGGGGTGCTTGTATCCCACATTAGAGATTGGCTACATTAGAAAGGCAGGTGAAAATACAGGTGTTTACACAGGCAGTGTGAAAGATATCCCTGTTATACTCTTGGAGGATGACAGGTTCTGATGGAGATGTGGTATGAAAACCAAGTGAATGTCACATGCACAAGGGGTGGCATCCCCGTGAGTGGTAGGCAGTGATTCAGATGAACCACACTTTGCCCTAGGTTCACTAGGAAGGAAAGCTCCAGCTGCCCTTTAGCCACATTCCTGGTGGGTCAAAAATGCCACAGGAGCAGTCAATGGAAAAGCCAAGTGCCAGAGCTAGAGCATTGATTCAGACAACCTGAATCAAAGGAGGGACAGCATGGTTCAAAATAAACCTTCTATGTTTCATATTACTGGACAATAATATTATGCAAAAGGAATGAAGAAGCTAAGAGGATTAGATGCTAATACACTGGTAGGAAATACAAGCAGCTGCTCTCATGGAATATATTTATGGCCCTCACATTGCAACTACTGCCAGAGTGAGGACCTGCCAGGATAGCTGGGGAGTTTAAATTTGTCCTGTGTGTGAGTATCCAGTACACAGCAGATACGCACTTTAAGGCTTACAATGGGGTTGAATTACAAGAAAGAGGTGTTTCTACAAATGCTTCAGAGACCAAAGACTTTCCAAATGGAGTATCTCTACTTTTGAAATCTGGTTTCTGCCACTCCCTTTCCTGCTAGAGTGAAGACAAACTTCCATGTGATCGACCCCAGACTCCAGGAAATAGCTGTAAGGCTCCAGTCAAAGTAACATCCATCATTTAGCCCTTTCAGAGAGAAACTCATATGGGGCATGTCTGCCCTGCAGAAGAGCTGAGCCAGAGGTCCAAAAGGAGAAAAATTCACTCAGTGCCAGCTTTCTATGTCTAGGCACATTCCTCCAGGGCTATGTATGAACGAATAAGCCATGCCTTTTGCATCCAGCCAACTCTGACCTCTCCTGTGTACTGCCATGCTTCAGAGCTCAGCTCTGACTGTACCTGCCAGCACAGGCACACCCAGTGAGAGACAGTGCCTGCTGTCAATTGTTGATGCTGAGTGGAGGGACTTGGCCAAGGACACAGAGGAAAGAAGAGTGAGGGCTTGAACCTGGATCCCAACCAAGTACACTCTCTGCTTGTGACTGAATGTTTGAACAAGAGCAACAAAAGGTTATTTTTTCGCAGGGAAAGCTCTGTCACTGCAGACCTGCCCTGGCCTTCCTGTTGGAAGGAGATGTTTTGCCAGGGAGCTAGCCTGACTCCTTCAGTTCAGCATGTGGAAGGGAAGAAAAGTCCCTCTCGGTCTGAGTTGGTGTTCTATGGCAGATGCAGTTGCAGTGATACTGGCTGATTCTTTCCTCAGAGACTTTTCAGACCCACATCTAGAGGAGGAGTTCCCAGAACAGGACTTCCATCTGTTTAGCTGGTGGTAACAACTTGGCCTCTGCTATTAGCCAGGCTTTGGGAGAGGAGTTACATACTTCCCTGTGGATTACTTACATTCTGTATGTTTTGATCTGCAATTGCTCCTACACCAGCTGCCATTCCTACACCAAAAATTTGTATTTTGTCTATTTTCTTCCTTTTTTATGCTTAAATCCTAAGGATATCTCTGGGATATGCCAGGCAGACTGAAAATCACCTGCAAAGAAGATCTTCCCAAATGACATCAGAGTGATGAAGATCAAGATCTTTAAGTCATACGAGGTTAATTTACAGTTTACAAGTTACTTAATGTGGCTTAAGGAAACCCACAGAATCCTCAAGCTTCATCCTTGATAATTTTCATATTGAGTCCAGTAAGTAAGTCACTAAGTATCACCTGGCTGCTTGTCGCCTTTCCCACACATCACTGTGGAAATACAACAGGAAATCGCAAAGGTGTCTGCCACACAGACTTTACCACTAGTGAGTTCCTCAAATGTTTTCTTTCTAGGTGCACAAGGCAGTGCTGTGATGGTGACAGGAGAGGCATGGGTCTTGCAATGCGGGAAAGCTGGGATGCTGAAAAGGATGGGGTTTGGATGTCTGCATAGAGCATAGCTGCTCCTGCATGACTTTTGCCCTGCTACACAGTGCCTCAGACTCCTCCTCTTTTGAAGCTTAGACCTGTCTGGCCAGTTGTGTGAGGGCCAAGTGGAGGGAAAAGGGGGTGTGCAGCAGGCCCAGCTGCTGTGAAATGCAAGCAAGCAAGCAACTGCAGGTGTGGCACACTTGGTGTGTGAGATGTTATAACCTATGGTGTCTTTGCAAAGAGAGGTTGCACCTTAGTATTAAATCAAGTGCTATCACTGATCACTGGGGGAATCTGAACAGGTTTGGCTACCTTGGGGTGGCTGCAGGAGTGGCTTTAATGGGAGAGGGGTGTGGTGATGACCAGGGAAATAGTTAACCACATTCTCACTGCCTGACTGTCCAGAGCTGGAGAACAAGGGGGTGACAGTCCCACACTGTCAATCTCTATGGGGCTTCAGGAAACCTGTGTGAGTGTGCGAGTGAGGCACATGTGTGCAGGGTGGGGCATTTTGTACACACTTCTGCATTCACAATAGCTTAGCTCAAGTGCCCCCCTCCCTCTCCAAAGCATCCCTGACACTCTGAGTAAATATTTGAAAGACAGGATCGGGGCTTTGATTCGAGAGCCTCTTTGTACAGTGCTAACTGGTTTCAGGACTGTAATTATCTCTCCAAGAGAAGCTGTAAATTGGATTAAGGCACTGAGTTGCAGCTGAGTGAGCTCCCTCCATTGCCCCACCTGGTGGGCTGCTGAGTGATAACAAAAAATGCCGAGAAATCGGATTTGGATTCTGCTTCACACTCATGGCTTCCTTCTGGAAAAAATGAAATTTTTCCGGCAGAAAGGGCTGGCATGGGTTTGCTGGCAGTATCAGTCCTGGGCTCGTATCATCTGCTGGCACTCTTCCGGAAACGCGATCCCCTCCGTTATCAGGGAGAAATAAATAAATAAACAGCAGGAGATGTTTTGGCAAGGAAGGAGGAATCGCACCAAGAGGCGTGCGCGTACACACACACACACACACACACACACACACACTCTCTCACCTCGGCACCGTGTCTTCCCAGCCTGAGCTGTCTGTCACAAGCAGAGGAGAAAGAGGGAGGTGGCAGCACAGGCACAGGGAGATGGGATTTTTCCTTTTTCAATTCCTGGCCTCTGGGCTGAAAGAAGGGCCCATTTTTAGCAGCTTATGTTGAAAGCATAGAAGGCCTGGGCCTTGCATTGCTCATGTTGCAGATCTCTGTACCCCTCATGTGGGGGCTCCTACAGCAGCTCTCCCCATGCCTTTGAATAAGGTACTGTTCTTTCCCATGAGTGATTTCACCCAATCTAAGACGATCCAAAACTTGTATCAAGAGACAATACAAGTTCCCTGGCTGATTTCAGTATTTTGATTGGGACAGACCTGACATCAGGCTCATGGGACAGGAAAGGTTTTGTATCTAGGCTCCTTCTTAAACAGAGGTGTGTATTTCCCTTTGGAGATGCAGGAGCACTGCACTACAGGCACCTAAGGGCAGGGATCCACAGGAAACCCAGCGGGGATGGGCAGTACCAGTCAAGGCTCCTGAGCGAAACCATCATGTTACACTCCAAACTTGTGGGACCCATGCAGAGCAACACAGCTGATGGCTTCATTTTCAGGCAAAGTTTATGAAGAAGCATTTCTGTCCATGGAAGAACCAGATTGACCAGGATCTGGAGGCAGACTAAAACACTTCATTATCTTCACAAGTAGGACCAACTTTTCAGGTGAGTGCAATCAGTACTTTATCCATAATCTGATTTAGAATAATCTGGCTCTTAGAACTATCAAATGGAGCTTGTGTTTGCTTGCAATCTGTTGCCCTCTGCCATCTGCAGAGTTTCTTCCTGCTGCTGGGTAGCTCCAACCAACAAGGCAGTGGCTTCCCACCCGTCCTGGCCATGGGGGACACCAGGTAGGGCATCCCTTGGTGTCTGTGATGGTGATGCCTGTCGACCGTTGCATCTCAGGAGCAAGTCAGCTGCCTCTGCCCATCGGCTGCCCTGGCCAGCTGGCAAGAGAAGCGCCACTGGCAGGGACTGTGAGGGCTGCCCCGGGCTGTGTGTCTGCTGGGGTAGGAGGGGGGCCTCCGGAGAGAGACACACTCCAAGAAACCTAAAGGGGAGTGAAAAGCCTGGGGAAGTGAGCCCCCAGTCAGCTGGCACTTCGAATGCTCTGTGAGGCCAGTAGTCCTCTGATGGCTCTTGTGTGTCGGCCAAACTGTTCAAATGCTGTGGAGATGTTCTCCAAACTGCCTTCTAATGTAGCTTCTTCCCTCTTGTGTCCCCAGACATCTGGGTCTTGGTTAAGTCCCTGCCGTCTGAGGGCAGCCACTGCACCATGTCCACATGGCCTGATACAGCCCTTGTTGGGCAGCCCTGGCCCCGAGGCAGAAAGATGCTCTTCCCAACAAAGCCACACTGAACCTTCACGGAGGAGGCCTTCTGCAGCCTTTCTGCTCCTCGTGGTTGATTCCTGCCTTATGCTCCTTTCCTCTGGTCCCAGTCTTACACTACAATGCAGTACCACAGCACAGCACCTAGAACAGCCTGTCAACCTCTCTCCTGTTCTCCTCAAACCACCTAGAAACCCATTTTCTCCTCTGCTGAGTTCTTAGCAAAAGAAATGTCCAAGGGCTCAGTACTCACAACTGAGATCAGCTTGGATGTTGCCTTGAAAATAAAAGGGCCACGTCCTTCATCAGGACCCAAATTCCCCCAGGATTTATATAGCCACACTGTCAAAATGCCCCAGTGATTCCCATGTATCCCTCAAATTCCCCCAAAACTACAATGGGGTAGTGAGCAATTTCCTGCTGAAATTCTCCCTTCCTTTGGTTGCCATCTAACGCTGATCTTTATGTTTCTGTCAGCTTAACTTACTATTTAGTATTCAATTTGGCAATAAAATTTTTATATACCAGGTACTGTGTATTCCAGATACACAGATAGATAAGCATTTATGTGTGTGTTCCTGTCAATTATAATGAGAATTTTGTTATTTTGTTCATCAGATTCAGCTTCATTTTTCATACCTATAAAGCTTTTGCAAATCCTAACATGGAGACAACAGGTATACCAATTCTTATCACTTGGTTTCTTTTGCATTTAAACATTGAAAGACACTAGTGGGAGATCTGCACATTTAACTCCAATCTTCCTAAGAAGGACCAAACATTCATGAATTATCTTTTTTGTTTCATTAGTCAGGGACTCAACCATTCATAAATATTGAAGGATTTAAGCATGTGCTAGGATTTCAGCACATGCTTAAGTGCTGGGGATTTAAAGAGGAACCTTAACTGCTGAGTGCTACTGGTGAGTAAGATGCTGAATTCCTCCACAAAGTGACTGTATTTTGGTGATGATTTAGGTGCTCCTTTACTACATTTTGCCAGCCTCTACTAAAGTTCCTAAGCTCCTGAAGTTTGTATGGGAGTACAGGTGATCTCTTACTTTGATGACTCTCATGAGAAGACTGTTACATGCCCTCTGTATAGTTTTGTAAATTTATTTTATACTTAGAACATTGTCTTTGCAAACATTTTCCCTCACTGTATGTGTCTGTGTGTCTTTCATACCTTTTACTTTGTGTTTTATTGTCCTTGCCATTTTAAAAGCAGGAACATGATTTATAGATGAAATTAATGAGCAAATCACCTGATGCTGAACTGATCCTGGATGTCACAGTTCTTTAGACCTGATGCTGGTGCAAACAGAGCACAGACATCTGGGCTGTTCCAGATTCCCAGTCCTCCAAACAGTATGGCCTTGGGATCAGTCCAGCTAAGGCTCTTGGCTCCTGCATGTTTTCTCTTCTGCAAGGTAGAGGAGTGCATGGTTCTGATAGCATCTTATTTTCTGCTCATCAGGCTGCAGTTGGGTTTGTGACTACAATTAAAAGCAGCCGGTCCAATCCTTCTGCAGTTTAACAGCTCTGAAGTCAGTGGAGTTGCTGCAGTGATTGTTTTGGCCTGAAAGGTTCTGGTCCGGTTTTAGTCAGCAGCTCACAAGCCCAGATCTGAGGCATGAATGGATTTATATTTGTGAGGAGACAGTCAGAGAGTTAGATGCCGTTCACATCCAACGTAAGTCATTAAAGGCTGTAGAGTCTTCTCTATGGAAAGAGGTTCGTTTGCTTCTGTCATTGTAGCAGGTTATTTTTTATCTCTCCATGACTGTCACATGAGGATATGGCAGGGGGGATGCTTCAATTATGTCAGTCCCTAATGGAATGACTTTGGCAAAGCCTTTTAATCTCTTTTTCCTTTAGTCGAGCTGCTACGTCTCTGACCTATGTTGTGTGTTCTTAAAGCAGAGTTTCCTTTTTTCCCCCAGATAGCTGTAAAGAGTCAAATGAAAACCTCCCAGAATTTGTGTTAGACCTGTACAGATAGTCTCTGCCTTCAAAAGCTTGTAAGTTGAATAGCCAGGAGGAACAAGTGGAGGAAGGGAATGAGCCAGGGGTCCTGCTTTATATGGAGGATTACACATTCCCCAGAGTGGGGAATCACCTGCAGTTTCAGCCCCTGTGGTTCTTCTGACCCACGCGGTAAATATCTCACAAACACCCATTCTTCTCTTTGCTAAAATGTAATACCTTTTCTTCCTCCCCCACAAAATCCAGGCTTATTACTGATTTTAAAGCAGGCAAGCAGGAAAAGCTGAATTTTTGAGCTGGGAGGAAAACAAACTCTATCCCTCCTCCCAGGTGTGCACCATTCTTCCCTCGCCCTTGCTTGGCACTGCAGAGCTGGAGGTCAGGCTCAGGACTTGTTCATCTTCACTGGGCTCTCCAGGGGGATGGGACTTTCCCTTGGTGAGAGATGTGGATGTGGACGTGGACTCCAAGATGAGGTCATTCCACAGGTGTGAGTGTGGGAGATGTCTAGAGAGGAGGAAAGGCTAACACAAGCATGGGGGCAGAAGGGATACAGAAGGGATGGGAGAGAAACAGTGGCTGGGCAGGATTCCCGTTTCGATTTCATCTGTACAAGAAATTTTAACTGTAGCAGCAGGGTAAACACAGTACATTTCCCTCCAGCATTTACATGGATATAAATAGGCTTTTTACCAGTTTAACTTTATTCTCTTGTAGGCATGAAATTAAGCTACACAGGTATTAGGTATACATATACCAGTATAACTGTGCTCACAGTCTGAGGGGGGTTATACTGATTTAGCCACAGAGGTTTTTAAGCAGATTAAAGAAGTTAAAAGATGGTATTTAAACCATCACTGGTAATGTACATCGATTCCTAGCTGCAATCTTTCTTTTATCCATGTACACACTTTTTGTACTCATGTACATACATGCACACAAGCTTTTGCATCCAAAGAATGCCAATTTTCCTATTTCTTTTCCCCATTTTTCTCTTTTAACCACCAAGTGAAATGTGCAGTCTAGAGTTTAATTTTGCTCTCCCCTTCTTTATAATTTGAAGAGCTTTTCTAGCTTCAGAGAACTATTGGAATGACAGCAGGAAGGAAAATAAAGAGTTCCTATTGCTCTGCTTTTTGAAATTCACTCAAGTTCAGACTATTTGCAGGGTAAGTAAAAGAAATAAGAAAAGTTGAAAAGTAAGCAGCCAATTGAAGCTGCAACACAGTCAGCACTGAGAGTGAGTCAGGGAAAATGACTTTTAATCAGCCCCACTTTGGGAATTAAATATTCTTTCAATATTTCTTATTTCAGATTTTTAAATATATATATATATATATATATAGAGAGAGAGAGAGAGAAGGGAAATTTGAGGAGGAGAGCAATGAAGGAAAGATGAGTAAAGAAAAGTGCAGCTGGAGACCAAGAAGGAAAAAGGACAAGAACAAAGTAAATGTGGAACAAGGGAGTCAGGAGTGGGAAAGTGAAGTTTTGTATGAAAACACAGCCAAGGTGGAAGGAAGAAGCCTGTGCAGGCCATTTTCATTTGCACTCCAAGCACAGTGTTCTAAAAAAGATTCAGTGCATGCAGAAGGCAATAGCATGGACTATGCTTAAACCCTCTTCTTCAGCCAATGGCTTAATTCTGGCGGAGGCTGAAGCATCGCGTAGACGCTATTGGTTGTAGTCAGTAAAGTCCTTTCAGCCATATTGACTAGCAAACAGTAGGTGTAGCCATGAGAAATATGATAGAAACCATGCTTTCTTGTGATAGTGCTGTTGAAATTACTGTCTCCCTGTTAAAATCACACTGCCACCCCCACTCACCTTCTTCCTCACAGAAAAAAAAAGAGCAATACAAAAGAAAAACAATGAGATTTTGAGGAATTAGTCATTCACAGGAGAGCCCCCTACTTATATGAAAGGCCCCAACAATTTACAGAAACCTAATGCCTTTCCTCTGCAAAGCTCATTAAGTGCAGAGTGGATGGAGCCATGTGGAAAGGCAGAGAGCTGGATGTTCAAAGGGCTGTGGGAAGCAGATGAGCAGACTTTGGTAGAGCATAGATGCATGGGGCAGATAGATGGATAGGTGTGTCATACATGTGTGGAGAAGTGGCTAAACATGGAGGTGACAGAAATAGGCAGTTGTGTGACTGGCCTGACAGGCAGGAGGGATGCTTTAGAAGCTCAGAAAACCTCTGGTACAGCTCTTTGTTCTGCTGTCATCTTTCAAGTGGCCCTGGGTAAATCACTCACTTTCATACACAGCAGATAGGCTCACTGTAAACCATGGGGTGTTAATCCTTCAGAGACTAAGGGGTGTTCATATTCTGCAGTAAAAGGGCTTAGACAATCAATTCAGGGTGGATACGGACATTGTGGCCAGGACATTCTGTTGAAAATCTTTGCAGTAACACAAGTTCCCCTCCTAGTTTGCTACCTCTAGCCTCATCCTGGTCATCTGTAACAGAACCAAGGACCAAAGCAGCTCTCCCTGTATGCTGGAATGTTGTCATGCTTTACAGGCTTTGGACCTGCTATTGCCCTTATTGCTTTAGGAAAGACAGTTTAAAAATGCTATCTAGGGCAGTTGGTCAAATGCTGGCAATTCAGATTGAGCAAGGGGAGTCCAAAGATAGAGCATCTCTGAACTGCTTTATCTGGATGGAGTCTCTAGACAAGCTTCCCACACCCATGTCAGAGTGAACGTGTCTCTGCAGAGAACCAGTGGGACAAATAGCAAACCATCTGCACCTTCACTCACTAATGGTTGAAATGATGCTAAGAGAATTCAGCAAGTCTTTTAGTCTACAGAGATTGATAAACGTTTTCAATTTCAGTCTACTGAAATTTCAGTCTACTGACAAAGTGCAGGTTTAGCTGTATCTCTCAGTGGCATCTGGACTATGAGCAGAGCCATAAAAATGGGGCATTTGAATGATCTTGCAAGAACATCCTGTTGGTTCAGCAAAGCTCCAAGGAATTTTCTCAAGCGACACCACTCCCAGTTGGAGTATATTTACATTACTGTGGAAGAGACTTCTGCTCCCGATAATTGCCATGGTTGATCCTGAGACAAGGTTGCACTGAACTTTTTAGATAATGCCGAAGTAAGTGTATAATGAACACCAGTGACAAAGTAGATCAAAACCTACTAGTGGTAGTTATGGCTCACAACGCTCTGAATTTGGTATAACTGTTCTCACTGAGGTTTTTATGCCTTGTGAATCTGCCTGGCACCACATGTCTTGAATCTTTGGTGGCTGAATGGGAACTGGGGACCTTTTATTGCTAGGGACTTCCAGTTTTGATGTCCAGCTTGTCCAGTGGTCATCTGTGGGGCTTGAGAGACAGGGACTTCCACATAGGAGAGATGTTCATGTTATGCCCTAGGTCACATGTACCCTGACTGATTCTTTCTGGCTCTGTCAGTCTACATGAAGACACTGACTTCCAGGCCCAGTCTGTGTGCCCCCATTTGGATCCATTTGCCTTCCCCTTTTCTTACCTCCATGGGTCCTACCGAACTCCCTTCCCAGTCCTGGATCCAAAAGCATAATGGTTTTATGTAGCTTGTAAAATTCTATTATCTCTGTATTCAAAACTCAACAACTGGGAAATGGCTGTAATAAGCGTGTTATTAAGCGTGTAAATACACTTTAACTTCAGACCTCCAAATGAAGTCTCTTGCTGTCTTCCTCGCTGTATCCCCTCCATGTTTGTGCCATGTGGTTGGATTTCCTAGATATACATACTTTTTCTCTCTCCCTGGCTGGTGTGCTGTCCCATACCAGAGCTGAGGATGATTCTCCCATCCGCTGAGTGTGACACAGAGTCTCCTGAAGAACTCATAGTCTTTGAGGGAAGACAAGTACCTGGTGAGGATGGGGGCTTGGGGAAGAGGGGAGAAAGGGTGAGGTGGGGAGGGGAGGAAAACATTAAAAAAAAAAAGAAGCCAAGTGCATTCTTTCTGCAACACTCAGGAAAAAGAATGTTTCACAGGGGATTGCAAAGGCGAAATTTTTTCACATCCAAATGGATTGCAATTTCCCTCCATTTAGCACCTGAAGGTAATTAGCTCGAAGAGACTGTCGGCTGAGAAACACGTTCATGGAACATTAACTCTCATACATTCTCCAGTTGCAGGGAATTAATAGGAAAGATTAAAGTTTAAAGAGAGCAAAATGCCATTACCTCGCAAGCCACCTCTCTCAGCGGCAGTAACTAGCCCTCACTAACCTAAAAGCACCATTGGAGTCCCTGGCTCCTGCTTCAGGCAACGACAGATGAGATGGGCCCCTGCTCTGCCCCATGCTGCCCGTCCGTGGGCTCCAGTGACCCACCTGCAGGCAGCGATGGCAATGGGGCTTGTGGCTCCAGCAAAGATGCGTTTGCCTGCCGCCGTATGAGTGCACACATCTTCACGCTTGGGAACAACATGCATGTGCAAGCGTGTCCCTATATGTACCGCTCTATAGGCACCAGAGTGTCTTTTCAGCAAGACATGAGCTGTGGATGCCCTGTCACAGCAGAGCCAAGGACAAAGTGGCCAGCAGCGGTCCTCTGCGTGCTCCCACCAAGGCCGCTGGTTGGCACTGGTGGGGTTGGGAGAAGGGATCTGCCATGCACACCCTGGCAGCCCCATGTCGTCTCTCTCCTGCTTCCATTCCCAGCTGGCACGCCAGCACCCGTGCAGGGATGTTGGCAGCCTGCTGGGCTCATGCAAAGTCCAAACTGCAACGCTGCAGCACAAAAAGGCCTCACAGCTGAATTGGCTCTGTGAATGAAGGCAAATCTCTCCTGACAGAGGGATTATGCCTTCTTCTCAGATAGAAGACAAAAAAAAGCATTAAAGGGTGGGGGCCCTGTTTTGGGGTTGGGGGGTAAAGTTTATATAAGCTTCTGCACTTTAAAGATTTCCATGTTGCTTTAGCATTTCAGGGAGAGAGAATGAGAGAGAGAGAGAGGGAGAAAGAGAGCGAGAGCGAGATGAAATTGAGACATGGAAGAATTTATTGCCCAGAAAATTCCATTCTGCTATCTGATTCGAAAAGTCCAGTCCCCCCAGCTTCGGAAAATCTATTTTCCACATTTTAATACCCTGCAGAACAGTCCTCATAACTCATCCGAGTGTGTTAAGCACAGTTTTATTAGATCTGAAACAAATTTTGGTGGGGAGATACTATAGGTCATTAACCATGGAGTAATTTTATCCTTGTTTCCCTAATGATGCCATAATGGCGAGCGAATTTCTTAACTAAAGACCAAAGAACATTTTGAAGGTCAGTTTCATCTGTGAGCTCCTTCAAGCGCTTCTCGGAGAAGATTGGAAAACTCGCCGATTTTTTGAAGAGTCATTAATAATGTGAAAGCTGAAAGAGCTCTCTCCCATTTGCGTTCCTGCTTTTTACCTTTTAATTTTATATCGCTTTAGTCCCTTTCTTTTTCTCCCTCTCTCTTTTTAACTCTCTTCTGGAGTGGCCCCTCGTGCAGCTGAAAAATGAAATGGGCCATTCGTAAGGGCATCCTGAGCTGAGCCGAGGCAGGGCAAGGATCCAGTATGGAAAAAGGCAGCCCTGGCACTGGGTGTCCACTGCCGCAGCCAGGCAGCCGCTGCCATAAGTGTCCCTCCAGCAGCCCTGGGTGCCAGCCGGGCTGAGGGGCAGCCTGTGCCCATATGCTGGTGTAAATCAGGAGTGGGGTTGTGTGAGCCTACAGCATTGCATCCATGCAAAAGGAAGGAGAGGGACCAGGCTGTCACCTCCCTGCCTAACAGGGCGTATATATTTTCAGCCTGTCTGAACGAGCTCACGCCTGGATCACGAAGGGTTGTGCTTGCAGAATGACCACTGCACTGAGTGTGAAAGTGTGTGTGTGCATGTGCATATGTGTGTGTGTGTATAAGGTCCATGTGTGGGTGACCATGAGACCATTACAGGGGGGATATGAAATATTGAGATAAATATATATATATTTGGTGTGTGTACATGTATATACTTGTGTGAATTGGTGTTTATATATAGATATGTTACAAATGGATGACATAAAAAATAAAATAGCAAGAAGATGTGTAAGGATTATATGCAGCCTGTCTATGTGAGTGCTGGGACTGCAGGTCATATGGAGTAGAAATAGTGTGTGCAATATTTGGTTTCCATGTATTGCTGTGCTCAGATTTATGGTGTATATGTATGTTTTATACATGTTTGGTGGAACACATGGGTGGCTCTTTTCTTGGATGCTGACTTATAACCCTCTGTGTCTGTGTATGTAGTGAACAGACAACAGGCTTACGCGTTTTGTGTGGACTGTGCATTTATGTGTGTGTGTGGTGGTTTATCTGGCTGCACCACAGGCGTCAGTGGGCAGGAGGAAGCTTCTGGGATGTGTGTGGCACACCGGAGGCTCGACTCTGTGTGTATGTGCATGTATGCATGTGTGTGTGCGGTGGGGTGTATGCCCTAGAGAAGGGCTTGTCTGTGTGCTCATTAGAGAGCGCCTGGCAGTAAGCAGGCCTCTGTGTTTATGTGTTTTCCTCTCCCTGGGTGTGTATGCTTCAGGCATCTGCATGTGTTGCATTTGCAGATGCAAGGGGCCAGATCCTCAGCTGTTGTAAAGCAGCACCATGTCCATGGGGCAGTTTACACCCACAACAACTCCAGCCCAGCCGTGGGCTGGAGGCGCTGGGACCAGGGGATGTGGGCTCAGATCCCATCCCAGACCACAGGAATGGGTAACTTCCAACCTGGAACAAGACCTCCCATCCCCTCCACCCCCTCTCCCCCAGCCTGTCGCTTATGTTCAAGGCAAGAACCATGGGGGGACACGTGTGTGTGTCTATTTGGGGAGGGAGCGCACCGAGGAGAGGGGGGCAGTGTGGTGACACACTCTGCTCCCAGATGTGATACCAGCGATAATTTCAATTTTATGCCTTTGTTATGGCTTTAATCACTTTCTTTATGCGTTTTGTTCCAGCGATCAGGGAGAGACACCTGATAGGCAAAAAGGATATCAGGGGAACAATTTTTATTTGGAATGTGGTGAGAAGTCTAATTAGAATTTGAATTCTGCTGAGCCTTGAAATGGTCGGTACTTTATCCTGATCGCCTTAGATATTGTTTCGAGTCAATCATCTGTCATAGTGCGGCACGCTGGAGAGAAAGGCTCTCCATCCAGGCTGGTCTCTCCGTCAGGCTGGGGGCTGCTGGTGGGGAAAGGGAGGGTGATGGAAGGGAGGGCAGCGGACTTTGCTCTGCCAGATAGGCTCCCCAGATAGGAGCAAGCACAAAGGGAGAAAAACCTTGGCACAGAGGTTTCCCTTGCTGCGTACTCATAGCCCTGCTGCGGGGTACTGCCTGCTGGCCCCTTTCTCATCATTGCAGGGCTGTCCCATTCAAATGGGGGGTGAGGAAGAGGAGGACTGTGGGTCAACATAAATGTCCCCCCAGTGGGAGAGGAGCATCCTCTCAGAGATAGTCCACACGGCTCAAGAGAATTTTGCTGCTTATCCTTGCTGTACCAATTAAGTGCTCTGGAGGGTAAGTTCTCACAAGCAGACAAACAGCTAGGAATGGATGGATGGATGCATGGATGGATGGATGTACAGACAGATGTGAATGGGAATGGCCCTCCAGATGGATTTGTATGGGACAGAGGTAGAGATTGCTGAACCCAGTGAGACACAGGGATGGATGGGGCACTTAAGAAAGGTGAGAGTTGAGGTGGACGTGCCTCATCAGGCTGAATGCAGTAAGCACAGTCATGAAGGGTATTTTTTCAGGCTATCTGCCGACTCAGGTTAATCTTATTTCATTTATGTTACCAGAATGCAAGGGAAAGTGGGAACTTGGGAACATGACAATAAGGCACTCAGCAACTTTCACAATTCTTTCAGCTTTAAACTCTGTTCTTAATAGTTAAAAACCCCACAAACCCACGATAAGTTCTAGTGTTTCAAACCTAAAAGCCACTCCAGAACTCACCAGGACACCTCCAGTAACATCTTCCTGTCTCCAGTCCGCAGTGCCTCCCTCTGGTGAGACAGCAGCCTTCAGTCCTGCTCCAACTGCTTCAATACTGAGTTTATAATGAGCTGTGCACTGGTGTGATCCCTGCTGCTAAGGATAAGAAGGCGCACCAGGAGGACTGCAGCATGATCTATATACCAGGAGAGATGAACTGAGGAGAATCATGAACAATAGAATCATTCCAAGATTCCTAAACTTATTGAAATTGATGGTAAAGTCTTTATTCTGTGCTGTTCCTATGCTTTGAGATGGTGCCTCATTCTGAATGCAACATAAATGTCTGTAACATGAAAAATACAGGCTTGGTTTGGCTGTTGAAGAAAGACAGCTGAGTGTTTTGCCTTCTTGAGAGAAGAAAATGACCTGGGACTGGGGGCTAATTAAAAGAGTTGCAGGCATCTGCAAAATTTGTGGCTAGGAAAGCCATTTGAGTAGTTCTTTCTAAAGTGTCAGCATTAGGTTTCAGAGCTGACATACTGAGATGTGTGTAGGCAGCTTGTGCCTTTCTCAGCTACAGTCCAGGCTGTCTGCAGACTCAGGAAGACATCACTGTATGTGTTCATGTTCAGTTCACCTCTTTAGCAACTCATCACAGCAATATTTCTTTCCCTTCCTTTTTATTTCCTTTTTTTGATTTCTTTCCCTTTTTTTTTTTTTTTTATTCTTCTTTCTTTTTTCTTTTGTTTTGATTTTTTTTTTTTGTTAATGTTGGGAAAGTCAATAATGTCAAAGCTCAGTACTAAATACTCATCTACAAATCCCTTGATAGTCATGTTGACAACCATGGAAGGTCTGAAGCAAAAATCAACCTTTCATTTCAACTCCAAAAATGCACCTAAGGTTGAAAACAGAACAGCAGACATTAAATATGCTGGCATATTTGTAATTAGGGACATGGTTTGGAAGTTTAGGTTTGTGGTTGAACTCAATGACCTTTAAGGTCTTTTCCAACCTAAGTGATTCTGTGATTCTAAGATGTGCTGTCATTGCAAGTATATTCATATTTTGGCCCTAAAACTGCACTTCTGGGATAGCAGGAATGCATTAACTAAAAACCTTGTGCTACTGTGCAAGCTGTATGGCCCAGGCATTCATAGAATCATAGAATACCAGGTTGGAAGGGACCTCAAGGATCATCTGGTCCAAACTTTCTTGGCAAAAGCACAGTCTAGACTAGATGTCCCAGCACCCTGTCCAGTCGAATCTTAAAAGTGTCCAATATTGAGAAAAACACCACCTCCCTGGGGAAATTATCCCAATGGGTGATTGTTCTCAGTGTGAAAAAGTTTCCTCCTGTGTCCAGCTGGAATCTTCCCAACAAGTAACTTGTGCCCATCACCTCTTGACTTTTCCGTATGACTCCCATGTTCTTTGTAGCATCCTTTAAATACTGGAACATGGTGATCAGGTCTCCCCTGAGCCGTGTTTTCTCAAGGCTGAACAAATCATGTTCCCTCTGCCTTTTTTCATAAGGCAGGCTTCCCAGGCCTTTGATAATCTTTACCTCCCTTCTCTGGACCCCGTTTAGCCTGTCCACATCTTTTTGTATAGCAAAAACATTAAACCAACATTCATGTTAGGGAGAGAATTACTGAGCCTCCCAGTCTCTTTGTTCTGAGTATGTCCAGTCCCAGGTCCTGGGTCATAGAGGGCATCACACAGCAGGAGCAGTGCCACTGTTTCAGACTGCACTGGGCTGTGACTTGCAATGGGGCTGGTGATGTAGCAGACTCCCACCTTGACTTCTCCTCTGACACTGCTCAGCAAAACACTATTGCAATGACTCCCTCATTTTGGTCCACTTTATGGCTCGTATCTGGGACCAGGAGGTCCATCTGGTGCTGATGTGCATTTGCACTGCCATGTTCCTGGCTCTACTAATACCACTATTTGCCTCCCTCCTAGGGTTGTACACATTTGTGTGTGTGTGTGTGTGTGTGTGTGTGTGTGTGTGTGTGTGTGTGTAAAGTAATCGGTGATGTGTGTTCTTGCCTAGTTTAAGCTTTAGGAAATCAAGAAGAAAAAAAAAATGTCCTGTATTCTGATAGCCCTAAAGCAAAAAGAATCCCCCAAATCCTTGTGACCACTGGGGCCCAGATCTGGGCTGGATCACCCATACCTGGGCTAGAGCCAAGATCCTTTGCTGATCCAAGATCAACAAAGCTCTGCTGACTCAGGAGAGGTCTGCAGGGAAGGCTGAATGGGGTACAGCTGGCAAGGACAGGGGTCTTTCTGCCATGCCAGAAGATGGAGCTAATTCTAAGTCTTGATTGTCATTGAGCTCTGGCCTCATGGAGTATTGTTTACTGTGCTGGAAGGGTCTTTATGCATCATATGCCTTGTTCATGCCCAAATGTCAGGTGATGGATGTTGAATAATCCTTGATGGTGCTGTGGTTTCTGTAGCCTGCTTTACATCCTACACAGCAACAGGGAAAGGCCAGGAACTGAAACAAATGAAGGCTGGGTGAGGAGGGCAGCTGTAAACACTGCCAGCGCAGGCTGGGAAAGGGCTCAGGTGTGCAGAAGAATAAGAACAAGATCCAATAAGCAGGTCTCATTAATTTAAATCTCTTTTGACCCTACTTGTTCTTTCATTGTGATACTCTGAATGACCACTTTCTTTTTCTTCCCAGGCACTGGGTTTAGAAGCATTTAGAAGAAGGATCCCAAACAGCTCAGTCCATAGCATCGCTGCTGTTATTGTTATGATTATTATTACCACTTGCCTCCCAACACAACTCAGAACAAAGGCCCTTGTTGCGCTGAGCACTGTACAAATGCACTGGGAGAAAACAAATGTGTGATGACTTTCCCAAGTTTCCATACTGTGACAGTGTCAGGGTCGGGAAGAGAAACTGATTTCTGACTTCCTCAAAGTTGGGCCCCTGCTGCAACTTCAGCTCAGCTCCACTTGGGGCATCCCTGTGAAATAAGGGATGCCCCAGAGCTCTCATCCTTTGAGGTTTCTTGTGGGTCTTGGACATATAGATTTTGGTGTGATTCTTGCTGGCACATGAAGGTTGGATAATCCTGCAAAGTCTGCCCACAACTAGCTAGAGCCAGGAGGGTGGCTTTAGACTGTATTTCTCTGACCAGAAGGATGCTCTTTCCTTCCCTGTTCTCTCATGTCCTTAGCTTTGTTCATGTGTTGACTTTTGTCGTTCCTCAGTCACAGCCTCCAAGCCAATTTTCTCCTGCCCTGATTTTTTCCACAGGTATTTTCCCACATCACTGTTCCTGAACACTCAAGTCCATGCACCTTCCCACCTAGTTTGCCAGCTGTGGCTGGGGTAAATTCTGGACAAATGACCTTAGCCTTTCCACAAGGCAAAGCTGAGGCAGAGGACCGCACCCAGCTGTCTGCAAAGACAGAACATGAAGTCTGCTGTTCCCCAGGACCAGCCTCAGCCTGAGCAACCCAGCCAAGGGGCCCTGATTTGTGGGTTCAGTCAACAGCAGGGCAGCTTCTCAGAAAACATTATCAGAGATGTGTGTTTTGAGAGAGAAGCAAAGACAAGAGCATCTGGACTGTATCCTTTGTGGCTTCTTTGAGGGCTATTGCATGAACCCACACTCCAGTGCGGTGCCTGCAGTAGGACTCAGAGAAAGGATCAGGGAACTGAGTGCTGTGTGCTCCCCTTCCCTGCCAGCACAGCCTGTGTCTGTCTCTCAGCCCTGTCCTGTCTTTTATCAAGCACACATCCCTGGGGCCCCAGAATCTTTTCCCTAATCAGCCCATTTCCCCTGGCTTGGTCCTGGGAGGACACAGTGCTCCACACTCTGAGGTGTCTCTATCATTGACTGTCAGGTGAAGCCCTCCCTAAGCACTGCAGCAGGCCTTTCTTTATTTATTTTTTAAAATTCCCCTGAGCCTACGAAGGTCATTTGAGCAAATTGTAGCTGACAGACATTAACTTGGAAAAAAGCCCATTGTGCCATGATAAACTCCATTTAAAGAGAAGCCAAAGTGCCAGGCAAGGAAGGAACAAACGATGAGAGATTTGTCACTGTTACCGTAAGCTGAGGAGGTGAACCTGTCAGCTCCAGCCTCACCTTCTTCCATTATGCATTATCACACATTCCAGCATTGCTGTTTCCACTGCAGCAGCTCCTATCAGTGCAAATGGGCTGAACCGGGATGTAGTGCAGGGCCCTAGGGAGAGCCATTCTCAGCACCATAAAGATGAACTAAATTGGTGGGCCATACCCCTGGAGAAGAGGAGAGGGAACCAAAGCCCGGAGATGAGGTGCTTCACCCCAGGTCACACAGAGAATCACCATCTGAGCTGCAAACCAGCCTCAGATCACAGGTGTCCCCCTTCCACTCCCCAGTCCTTGAAACAGTTTTTATCTGTCTGTGATCTCAGGTATCCATGCACCATTGGTTTTACACCCCAGTATGTACCTGTCTGGGGAACCTCAACAAGCCACAGCAATTGCTAGCTCTTCTGTGAGGGACTGGGGATGGTACCTTCCCTTCAGCTGACAGCCAGAAGAGCCACCTGAGGAGCAGAGAGAGAGGAAAGGGAGAAGTCAGATGTATCAATCTTAGTCCATGCAACTGCTGATGAAACCTGTGCTCTGTCCAAAGATATATCCTAATGCCTTCCATTCAATTTGCACATAGTTTCTTTATGCTTTGCTTAGTGTCCTTGACACAAAGGCAATTGGTTTCTCCTCTCCTCTGGGCATCATGTGGGATCCAAGTGCCTCCAGCCCCCTGTGGAGCTGCAGCAGCTACCAATTGTTCTGGCAGGCCAGAAGAGAGGAGCAGACCTGGGACTGTCACTCTCACCTGGCCAGGGGTCCTTTTACCCCACAGCCAGATGAGAAATGAACTTCTCCAAGTGCACATTGGCAAGCTCCGAAGTGAAGTGCTTAATATACCTTGCAGGTAGGAACCGAGCCATGCTCTGCCTCACACTTCTTTGTCTTGGAGTCCTGCAAAAATGAGTAGTAGTCATTGTGCTCACAGACCATGGTGGCAGGTAAGTCCAGGCCACTTACTAGGGATTCAGTGAGCCCAGACTCAGCACGGAAGGTCTGCAGTCAGCTGGGTTATAAATAGAGTCTGGCTAACCAGGCCAAGAAATTAAAGGTGTTTTGACATGGTCACTACAGCAACTGCCACCATCTAGGTAAAACTGTCAGCTGCAGGAGACCTGTTCCTAACCCATGCCCGTCAAGATCAAGAGTGGTCCCAGGTTCTGGGAGGACTGGGTGGCTTGGAGGAGTGCCCTGTCCATGTACCCAGCCGTGAAGAGCACTATAAAGGTCTTTGCTGCTCACACCTGGCCCTGTGCCCAGTGCAGATCCGAGTCAGGAAGATGGAAGGCAAGGCTCTTCACCAGGTTCTTGTACAGCATGCAACCACAGCTTAGCAAACTCCAACGTCACCACCGGCCCTGGGTGCCCTGTCCTTCTGCAGCACTGACATAAATGGGATGGCCGATTTACTATGCATGAGAGATTTCCAGTCGTGGCTAGATGTTCCTGATCCACAGTGACCTTTGATCCAACAGTGAATGGTGGTAACCTCAACTTTCTGTGTCTGGGCTCCCTGCCCAGTTTTATGGTTAAGCATTACAGCAACACCTTTCCCGCTGCCCAGTTTCTCTCTTGGAAACAAAGATTGCAATTCTGCAGTGCTGCAGTTAGACCAGTTTAACCTTTCCCTGTCATGTGGATGCCCAGACAAGTCCAAGTGGGCTCAGTGGAGACAAGCAGTGTCCTCGCACCTCAGAGACAGCCAATCTAGCTGCTTGCCTGCACTCTTTCAACTACCTCCTCAAGGCTTGCTCTCCAGCTGTACCTGCACCCACAGTCAAGGGCAATTTTATGTTTTCCCTCCAACTCATGCTCACACTGACCATCCACACTGCAAACCCCACTCCTCAACCCTGAATGACCCATTCAGCCAGCCCCAGTGATCTCTGGCTGAGACCTGGCTCACTCCACACTGACCTTCAGAGCCACCTCCCTCTGCTTTGCTGTGGCTTTAGAAATCACTTGAGCATGAAAGCCCTGAGCACAGGAAGTCCGCCAGGGAAATCCTGCCCCAAAATCCCACATTCCTCATTTCTTACCCTTACTGCAGCCCCTTTCTGCTGAACCATCCTGTTGGGGCTATGCACCTCAGTCCTACAAAAAAACAGGGCATCTAATTTTGTGTGTCCATGCCCTCCCTCTCAGGTAGGATGATAGGCCTGGTCCTGGCTTTTTTCAGCATTTTTGGCTCAGTGGATGTCTTTCACCAGGCACATGGGACATGGAGTTCCGGACTTGCTTAGGGCTAATATTTCTGATTTGTAGGTAAAAGCAGCAGTAAATGGTGTCTCTATTACTGCTCCTAAACCTTAGCTACAAAATAGTCACAGGGCCAAGCAGAACTAGTCAAAGCATTGAGCAAATGTTGTAGAAGTGTTTCAATATCATTTCTGTGTAGTAGGATTGCAATGGGATTTCCAGCAGATGTGTGTAGGAATTAAAAGCTCTGTTTCTAACATATTCCCTCAGTTTTCTAAAGCACATTTTTATTGGCATTATTTTGGAAGTATTTTTCTCCCTGTGTATGAAGCCTCTTCAGTCAACTTTGGTTACAGATATGAGTTTTAAAACTGGGGTGAAATATGATGGAAAACAGAGTATGTTTCTATTGGTGGCAATTCTTCATGCAGATTTGACCTTTGGGGGAAGAGGAAGGTTGTTTTGTAACCAAAAAATTCTCTTGCAAAAAATGTTTCCCTGGTAACTGAAGCTATCGAGAGCAGCCTTATGCTACCCATTAAAGGGAATCTGACTCTAGAGAGAAAGAGATGGACCCTGGAGAGCTGGCTGGTGAGGGCTGAGAGAGGCTTGGGATGTTGGAGATGCTTGTGTAGGGATGGGGGAGGAAAAATTTGAGATGAGGAGGCCAAGGGTAGTGACTGCAGGATGAGACCCGCAGGGGCACAGGGGGTTTGAAAGACTCATAGGGGCAGAAAGGATGCGGGAAGCAGCAAAACTGCTTCGTGGGGCTTAGCAGCATCAGTAACACATTGCAGGGTCTCCTGCAATGCCTTCCTCAAGAAGCATCACTTACCAGGAAGTGATGTTTTGAGACGCCCTCCCTGCAAGTCCCTTCTGCACCTTGCTGCAGTAAAGATCCTTTTCCCAGTGTCCCCTTTCCTTACCCCCTAACCATAGCCGTCCCACACTAGCCTTCAGCCCCACCTTCCTGGTCTCATCAGTCTGCACCTTGCCAGTAATGAGGGGGGCTGTGTGGTCTGCCTTTCTTGTGCTCCCACACTTCCCTCTGGATCCCAGCAACAAGTTTAATAGGAAAAAAACAAGGCTGACTTGGAGGCAAGGCAAGGAGAGCCTGTGCCAGCTGACACCATGATCGATTACCTGGAACTCCACCTGACACTGAAATTAGGGGTTTTTAATGATAGGCTGACTCTCCCTGGATGTGAAATTCAAATCATCTCCAAAGCTTCCCTGAGACCATCACTTGCTGCACGCAGTGGTACACGCCACATGCAGGTACTTTGTCTCTGTCACTGCTGAAAGGACATTGTTATTACCAACAACTCTTTGTATTAACCAGTCTCCTACCTAATAGACAACACTTTACGTTCTGCACGGTTACCCAGTCAGGGCTGCTGTGTGCTGAGAGACACACGCTTCCCCCTGGGTCCCCTGGGGCAACGGAAAGCCGGTGCTTAAGAAGAGACACCACAATGGGGGATGCACACACATCTTGCTCCTCCTGCCACCCCCCGGCTCTCATGTTGGGGGGTGATTTTCCTTGGCACTGCCTGTCTCAGCTGCATACCCATAGCACATACTTGTGGGACAGGGGTTGGATGTGCTGGGATGTGCCCAGGTGCCTGGCAAGTAGGCAGTTTCCCAAGTTTCCTTCAGATGAAAGAGGGGAGTTTCTCCTCCCACTGACATCTTTCCCATCCTAGGGCAAAACTGGAGGGGGCAATGCTCCAGTCAGGTTTCCTGCTTGGTGAGGCATCAAGGAAGTGCCCTCTGGGCTGGTACCCTCCTGTGCCTGGACAGGATGGAAGAAAAGCCACCTCCTCCAAGGGTCCACACTGTTGCTAAGCCCTGATGTAACTCAAAGCATTTGCACCTGTATAGATGGGTTGTCACTGCTGGTGGACGTTTTCTCACAAGATATGGTCCCAACATTTCTTCCACCATCACTTGACCAATTTTGCCTTACCCTCAAGAAGGCAGAGAGAAAGGTGACCAGTGTGATTTGGAGAGGAGACCAGGGGCTGTTCTGTACCCATTGCCTGGGTATACTGGCTGTCTTTTCTCATGGAAGATGACAAGCAGAAGGAGCGTTTTTTAGTTCCTGCTGTGCAAGGAGGGAAAAGAAGAGATGAAAAAAAAAAAAAGGGACAAAAAAGTTTGAAATAATGTCAATTTGAAATAATGTCAATTATTTCAAATATTTACAGCAGAGAAAGTAGTAGCCTATAAACCACCATGCAATAACTGGGATTTCCTGCATCTCATTGCTATACTGAATGAAGATATGGAAAACTGCATGCAGGAAAGTTTTCCTAGCGTGGACAGTGTTACTGTTATGGAGTAACAGCACTGGGGAAGGCATCACCACCAAAGGGAGCCTTTGGCAGTGTCATACAGTGCCAGCAGGAGGGAACACGGGTTCTGGGTGTTGGTGAGGCTGGAGGTAAAAGGGAAAGGTGCTGCCTCCAAAAATGTCCCTTGCAAATTCAGACTTCCTCCCATAAGAGGCATTGTGAGGAGGATTAGGGGGGGGGACATCAACTGTTTCCAGCTCCAGCAGGATTGTTGTAGGCTGTATTGGATGAGAAAAGCTGGACACATGTGGTCCCGGGCACAATTGCAGGAAGCTGTAATTCAGACCTTCTGGTTTGCCTTACCAAGTGAAACCCTGGATGTTGGCACTGACATATTTCACAGGCTATGCCCATTTCTTTCTCTAATTAGGTACCAGTGCTGGCATATTTAACAGTCTCAGTTTCCTCCCAATTGAGAGAGATGCTTCTTGTCTTTGATAACATGCGGGCATCTTTGATGAGGAGCTGCCACGAGTTGCCATGGGTAAATCATATATTCTCTCTGTTCCTCAACTCCCCTTCTCCAATTTACGTATATTGTTGAAGGTTGCCTTTCATTCAGTGAATGCTCAGCACCAAACACCCCATGGCTTCAATCTCAGCTGCCCTCTTTGGGCACCTTTGGGGCATGTATTGAAGCAACTCAGACATCTTTGGCCTGGGAAGGAGGCAGTGACAGAGCCTGTGTTTGTTATTCAAGGTCATGTGGTGGTAGGAGAGGTGTTGGGAGGGCAGTGCTGTACTTTTCTGGTGCATAGGATACATTTGCCCTGTACCACCCCCAGAGAGTTCAGTACAGCCACTGGTGCCCTCGGTAGCCCATGCTTATTGTCCTCCGAGCGAGATCCCTGTTGGAGCTGAGCAGAAAGGGGACGCATGCGGACAATGTTCCCTGCTTTCCTCCATCGCCCGGTGAGCAGCCCCTAATCTGAGGGGCGTGCCAGTATTAATGCCTTTAATAACGACGGATCAGATTGTATGAAGAGTTTTAATTGATGTCTATATCCCTGGAAACATAAAAACAGCCATGCAAATGTCTTACCACTATTATTTTATCAAAGGTTTTGACGTGGCTGCTGCATAGGAGATGTCAGGGAAAAAATTCATGTCTGCAAGGCACAAACAGGCGAAGTAATGGGATATAAATCAAAAACAGTGAAAGGGGAAAGTGGTTAGTCACAAGATCATAGAGTTTTCACTACAAAGGAGAGCAGTGAATTCTCAATACAAGCAGCAGAATTCATTCATTCTCTTGTGCTGTCAGCCCTTTCTCCCCTCCTGGTCCCCAACACTCACACACCCTCTGCCCCAGGACACACTGTCCTCGGCAAGGGCTGGCCATCTTGGAGGTGCTGGTCTGGTCAGGTTGGTACAAGACATTTCTCTTCCTTGTTCCCTCCTAGTTGAACAGAAGGCATGGAAACTTAGCCCAAAAGCAGGTTTGCAAATAGTAACCCGTTCTCTTTGGCTGGTCAAGAATGTAATTAACCCTTTATCAGGTCTGCCTAGCTCACATCACTCGGTGGTCTATGAACACACTCATGAGTATAGTTTCCAATACAGGGATGACAAACTGAGGTGTGGGAAACAAAAGGGACTGAGAGGTTTACTGCGGTAGCAAAGAAGAGGAAAGAAAGCATTAATTCAGTTCAGTTTATGTGCCCTGGAGTAACTGGGACACCACGATGCAACACCAGCAGATCAGTTGCAGACCTGCTGCTTCTCAGTGACTGGCTCTGACCTTCAGGGCATATGGATGGGTGGGATCCTGTTTATGGCTCATGACACTGTTCGACCATATCATCCCCTTTCCACAGCCAGAGCCCCACAGAGCTCAGCCAGAGGGCCAAGGCAAGCAAGAATCTTTTGCGAGACCCTTACAAGTCAATCCTGCACTGATGCCTTTCTTCTAGCCACAGTGTCCCACATTGTTATGTGGTGGGAAGATGTTCAAACTGTCCAACAGCTGAGAAGGCATGAGTATAGTGTGAGACATGACTGCCTTTTCCAGGGCACTGCTGAGAGGAAGCTTGCAGCATGGCTTCCTTGTCCATTTGCTTGGGTTGAAAGCATAAAAACCCAGAGAGGGGGGTAAGGTGGAGGGCGGAGAGGATAAAAAGGAGTAAAAACTGGTGGATAAAAAGAAATTTGAAAAAAAGTATGTGAAATATTCAAACTGGAAAGTGATATTATAGAAAACTGCAGGGAACACGCTTGAGCGCATTCAAATTTATTCAAACTCTGCGTCTGACATTGATGAATGCAACAGCTTTTTCCACAATATGTAGAGCGCACAGGGCATTTAGGATTGCAGCATCCCTTTCACTGCAGCTGTCTGGGGGCCTGTTCTGAGTGCTGTGGAGACCCCTACTCCGGGCCCTGGCATGCCCCCTTAAAGAAGAGGCCAGGAAGCCATTTGGGAAGGAAGAGAAAAACAAACAAGAAAGAAGGATTTCAGCAAAAGATCAGGGAGAAGACATTTCAAGGCTAATCCAACCTTACTGTGCATGAAGTCTTTATCTTTGTGGCAGGACCCAGTTTCTTCTCTTGCACTGATGGAAAGTCCTTCCCAGTATGCATGCTTCTACAGGGGGGGAGGGTTGTATCGGGATGCACAGACAAGTCATTGCCTTTGTGTAGGTCCTATTGAAACGTTCCCTTTCTTCCTGCCAACGAGCCTCAGTGCAAATCTGCTTTGCAAGCAAGGACTTCCAAGATCCTGTTCTCTCTGCCTCTTGCAACTCTGGCCCAACATAAGACCATGAACTAGTCATCTTCCTGCAGGGAGCACTCTTGCACCCTCTTTACAGACTGCAGTGGCAGGCTGGCACCCAAAGCAATGACTTCCACACTTTCCTCCAGTTTCTCCTCCCCTTGCCTTGGAAGCGTAGCAGCTCTTAGG